GAAATCTGTACTTTACACTTAACCATACTCTCAGTTTGGGATAGTCGCATTTCAAGTGCTCAAAAGCCACAAGTAACTAGTAGTGGCCATAGTGGACAGAAGTGGGTCAAACACAATTTCTAAATTTCTGAAGCACAGTTACATAATCAACAGAAAGTCCTAAGTACTTAAGCAAAAAACAAAATGTCTTTAGCAGATGCAGGGATACAACAAAATTAAAATGTCTTTAAAGACAGATGTAGGGATACAACAAAATTAAAATGTAAAACTAACAGCTAATCCTCCTGAGTTTTTACTATATGCCTGACCCTGTTTTAAATGCTTTTCAAGGATTATCTCATTTGATCATCACAAAGGCCTCTGATGTGGGTACTAGGAATAAACCCATTTCACAAATGAGGAAACTAAGACACAGGGAAGGTAAATGAAGGTTAACCCGGCCAGTCTGAATCAAGAGTTCATGCTCTTGGGAGCCTGGGTGGCTCAGTTGGTTGGGCGACTGCCTTCGGCTCAGGTCGTGATCCTGGGATGGAGTCCCGCATCTGGCTCCCTGCTCAGCAGGGAGTCTGCTTCTCCCTCTGACCCTCCCCCCCCCATGCTCTCTCTCTCTCTCTCAAATGAGTATTTTTTTAAAAAAATAAAATAAAATAACTCATGCTCTTAAACACTACAAATACTATACTACAAGAAAAATAGCAAACACAAATTGGTTCATAAAAAATAAAATATGGAATAATGAAGCAACAAGTGTTTCTTTTGGGGGTTTTTTCGTTGTTTTTTTTTTTAAGATTTTATTTATTTATTTGAGAGAGAGAGCATGAGCCGGGGCAGGGGGTGGGGGGGATGGGGGAGGGAAGGGAGAGGGAGGAACAGAGTTCCTGCTGAGCAAGGGAGCCCAAAATGGGGCTGCCCAGGACCCTGAATCATGACCTGAGCCAAAGGCAGATGCTTAACTGACTGGGCCACCCAGGTGCCCGTTTCTTTTGTTATTAACAGGTTTTTAAAACAATCATTGTCATATAATCCTTTTCCACAAGAAGCTCCAATCTCCCAATCAACAATACAATCTTAGGTTAGGATTTTTATTTTGAAATTATTATTAACACAAATATTCTATTTAACCTGATACTAGTAATGTAAATATTTACATTTATAATGTGAATATTTATTCATCACCCACTACTGAAAAACTATAGTTTTAGCTTTAAAAAAAACTAAATCATTTTTAAAAATTATTTTAAGGTGAATTTTCCAGCTTATTAATTTCAAGAAGCTGCACCTTTCTTAAAACTCTTTATATTTCTGATTTTATTATGGACTTCTTTTTAACAGTTCATTCTCTTATGATAGGAAGAAAAAAGGGCTTATTTTTCTTCCCACGCACCTGTCATTTCAAGGAATAAAAAAGTATGAGAAGATAAATACAGGCAAGAAAAGAACTAGCTTTTTCCTAAATCTTAATTCTAAGAAAAAAAGAGAATACTGTAATTAATACTGAACATCCTATTAGGTACATCGCACCCCAAGATTTTCAGCTACAAAAAGGGGACAATGTTCACTTTCCCATGTACGTGCCACCAGCAGAATGACATAAACACTGATAATGTTCATAGAAATTTCAGATAAAGTGCTGGATATCTCTTCAGAAAATAACATTCGAAAATACTTAGTCTGAAATAAACGATCCCATGTTAAAGAAAATCTGTGATCAGAGCTTAAATTGTCTGACCCTTCTGTGTACCTAAAATCACAAGATAAGGATAGCCAACTGATCCACAGTTGAAGGCCACAGCTGTCTGCACACTAACTTTGACGTTTCCAGGGTGTCACTGGAAAGCCTGATCACACCACCTTCAGTTCCATAATAAACCTATCACCATACTGTTTCTAGTATCCCTCCCACATATTCAAAACTTCACAAAGGTGGCCAGATCTCAGAGGGGGATCTCTTAATAGAAGAGTGCATTTGCACAATGTGCCTGAGCAGATATTTAGCAATAGAACAAAAAGGTTAAAGAGTCAGTCTGCTTCTGCCATAATGAAGAAATATCTCAGCTTACCAAAAAGTTTACAGAAAATACGTCCATGTCACCTACATTTTGTTTTTGATCATTTGAACAACTTTATCAAATAAATGTCTCTGAGAAGCTACAAAGCTCATCTGTGGGCTTCTTTTGTTTTGCTTTTTCTTTTTTCCTTTGGATTGCCTGTTTTTATATGCTTCAGGCACTGGGTCTGGCCCTTTCCTATGCATCATTCCAGTAAGTCTCCACAACAAGCCTATTCCATTAGTGTTTCTGCTTTATAGAAAGTACAACAGACTCAAAGATCTGTTAGATGGGAACCAAGGATGGACCCTCAGGCAGGGCTTCTGACCTTCCAGGCTCAGGTTCCTTCTACAACACAAGGACTTTTATTTCCTGTTTCATTCCCCACTTACCGACCAATTTATCTATGAGTACCTGCACACTCTCAAGTAACAGCCCATACATGTAAGTAAAGTTTTATTGTTACTCATATCTCCGAAAACTTTGACCTGTATCTGCAAATTCCAGTAATATTAAAATCTTAGGGGTGAACTGTATATCTCAATAAAACTGTTATTGAAAAAAAAAAAAAAAACAAGGGGCACCTGGCTGGCTCAGTCAGTAGAGCATTCTGAATCTCAAGGTTGGGAGTTCAAGCCCCACATCAGGTATACAGATTACTAAAAAAAACAAAAGAAAATAGGGACGCCTGGGTGGCTCAGTCGGTTAAGCATCTGCCTTCAGCTCAGGTCATGATCCCAGGATCCTGGGATCGAGTTCCGCATCAGGCTCCTTGCTCAGCAGGGAGTCTGCTTCTCCCTCTGCCTGCCACTCCCCCTGCTTGTTCTCTCTCTCTCTCTGGCAAATAAATAAATAAAATCTTTTTTAAAAATAAATAAATAAAAATAAAAGAAAATAATATTCAAGAATTTTTTAAAATAAACAACAAAAAACCTTAAACATGCTAATGACATCAGTTCTCCAATTATCCTAATAATAGTACCATAGGTAATCCAAATACCTAATTTGTAACTCATTTCTCAAAAATATTTATAAATCAGTCCCTTACTATTGCAAACTTTTTACATCTCTCATTACTTCACTCCTACTAAATGCTTCACTTCCCTCATTACAATTTCTATATTCTCCATCCCACCCTGAACACTAGCAATCTAGCAATCACCCTTAAATACTTTCATCATTCCATAACTCTTCAAAAACTTTAATGGTTCCCTTTTCCCTGCTATGTTAAGTCTAAATTCATCTGCCTAGCTTTCAAGGTCTTCCTTCATCCTACCTCCCACCATTCCTCATCATGTGGGCAAGCAGTCTCTTCTGTGTCCTATGAACATACCAATCCCTGTGCTGGATGCTGTGCCTTAAATAATCCCATCCCTCTAAACTGACATGTTCTTCCCTCCATCACCTGCTCATCCTTCAAGAGCCAGATCAAATCGGACCCTTCAAGCACTCTGCCTGACTACTTATCACTGCCTCAAGAGACTCCACGTACTTGGGAGTCTTTGGTCATCTTTTGCACCCCCAGTTCCTAGTATCCGGGATGTAAAAAAACACTCAATAAATGTTTGTTGAATATAAGTTGTAATATGCTGTACCAAAATAATTATGTAGCTTTTACCATCTCTTCAAACCATGTGTATTCACTAGCAATTCAAGTAGCAGAGTGCTAAAAATTATGGTTTCAGAGGTTTTCTTCAATATAAACAAATCAGTAACCTATGAGATGCTTTCATGGCCCCTTCAAACATTTCTATGCAGGAATCGATTCAACAGGCCCTGTGAATTGGAAGATTACTACATCTAACCTTTCACTCCTGTTATGGTCTCCTCTAATAGTTAACAATGCCAGAATCAAAAGGACTTTACAATGAATGCATCTAAGTTTTTTTCCTCAGATGACACTTCAGAGTTCCTCACCATAAATGAATACTCTCTATGAAACAATCATTTATACTATTTTACCATTTTAAGATTAGTGTGCAATTATTTGTGTCTTTTGCTTTTTGACCACTCAAAACAGATCAAACAAATAAATTTAAGTACAAAAACAATCATCTTTTAAAAAGTCAGCGCTAAAGTCTTTAGTGTCACAAGAGAATACAAGGAATTCAGGTGACATCTGTGCTAGATTATATATCTTTTTAAAGATTTTATTTATTTTTTTTTTGAGGGAGAGAGAGCATGAGCAAGGGAAGGAGCAGAAGCACAAGCAGACTCCCTGCTGAGTGCAGAGCCGCCGCCGGACTCAATCCCAGGACCCTGAGATCATGACCTGAGCCAAAGTCAGATACTTAATGACTGAGCCACCCAAGCGCCCCTGTGCTAGATTTTATAAATCACAAATATGAATAACCGTTATATACTTAGCTTATTATGACTTTAGAATGCAAGATAAAAAAACTTACATAAAAAAGAAGTTTTAAAACACACCAATAATATTTTAATTTATGATTCAAGATAGAACTTCATTTTATTCAATACAGAACACACGGGCACCTGGGTGGCTCAGTCGGTTAAATGGCTGACTCTTGGTTTCAGACTGGGTCATGATCTCAGAGTCCTGGGATCGGGCCCACATCAGGCTATGCCCTCAGTGGGAAGTCTGCTTGGGGATGCTCTCTCTCCCTCTCCCCCTGCCCCTCCCCCACTCATGCTCATGCGCTCACACTCTCTCTCTCTAAAATGAATAGATAAATCTTAAAAAAAAAAAAAAAAAAAACTTAAAAAAATCCCAAGGCCAATTCCCCTGTAATTGGTCCTTACAATGGCCCTTAACCCACAGAAAATGCCAAAGATAATGATTACAGCCTTCCTCTGATAAATATAAATCAACAACGCAAAAAAGGAACAGAAATTCAAAGTGAAAGAGGTACATCCAGACACCAGTGAGAAGCTCAAGAACATAACACACACTACTCCTCTCTAAAACAATAAACATATTCAATACCTTACCTGTTTCTGAAATGTATGTAACAGGATCCTGGCGTAGAATTTTACCAGGTTTAGAAGACAATGGCAATTTCTCTGGTTGCTTTTTGGCATTTTTTACCTGCACTGTCTCCTCGGATTCTGAATCTGTACATGAGAGGAAAATCAAACAAAACTCTCAAAAGAAATAGTAAAATACAGTGTGTTTTTAAAGTGATTATTGTTAACCAATTCCTCAAGGCCCATTTCAAGGCAAAACTCTTACTGTGAATTCTCACAGATTACTTCTACTTGTGTTAAACCTTTGTCTTACTTTTCTTTTGTTACCATAACAAATCACCACAAATTTAGTGGCTTAAAACAACATAAATATATTATCTTATAGTTCTGGAAGTTAGAAATCCCATATGGGTCTCAATGGGCTAATATCAAAGTGTCAGCAGGGACGTGACTCTTTTCCGGATACTCTAGGGAAAAATCCATTTCCCTGCCTTTTCCAGTTTCTAATGATTGTTAACATTCCTTAGTTTACGGCTTCCTTCCTCCATCTTCAAAGCCAGCAACATCAGGCAAAATCCTTCTCATGCGGCCATCTCTCTGGTTCTCTGACTTTCTTCACAGTTAATCTCTCTCTCTCTCTCCATCTCTCTCTCCTGCCTCCACCTTCCTTGTGAAAACAATGGGCCCACCCCCAGATACTCCAGGATAATCTCCCTACTTTAAGGTCATATGATTATCAACCTTAATGCCACTTACAACTTTAATTTCCCTTTCATCATGTAACCTAACATATTCACAGGTTCTAGGAATTAGGGTATGGACATCTTTGGGAGCACTGGTCTGTCTACCACAACCTAACCACCCAAGACACTTAAATACAAACCAAAACAAAGTAAAACAAAAATAGAAGTTTCATAAACTTTAGTGTCCTTCCTTTTCCTCTGAACCATGCATTTATAAATCCTGTTTCATATTATTCTAAACTGCATCAAGTAATTAAATTTCCAGTTTCCCAAAAGACACAAACTCCCAGGGAATGGGGATGTGTATTTATTTCAAATTCCTTACAATATACAGCAGTAGAAGACTCACAATAAACACTCAAGTATTTTTAGGATGGAGTCAGAATCTGTGCTATCACTGTGAAATCCTAACAATCTATAAATGTCTCCTTAGTTTACCTTTTTAGTTTTAAGAATTCACACCAGATGGATCTTCTCCACAAAAGTAAAATCTAAAACTTTCTGGATTCTACCATTATTTTAACATATCATAAAAGGCATGCATAAAAATACACACTCCCCATCTTAAAAGTATATTCAAATATTTTATTTGGTGCTTGTTCCATTTTAAATCCAACAAAAGAAGACCAGATTAAAAGCACAAAAATTAAATTTTAGAACGTTTCTAAAGCAATATCCTAAGCACTATTTTTCAAATTCAGTTTCCAAGAAGCTCAGCTGCAAGAGTAGTATGAATAGTTTTAAAAAATAAATATGCCATATTCAAAGTAAGTTTAAGACATGCTATGTATATTATATACCCCCTTGAACAAACACATTTAATACATTACCACATTTCAGCTCTGGTAAGTTCTACAGTATAATAAAACTGTTCCCAACTTTGAGCATAGAGCCCTCTCCTCACAGGACCTATTATAACATCAGAGAGAGCTGTGTGTCTCAGAACATCAGTTTGGAAAACACAGTTCTGAGGGATATAAAATTATTTTAAAACTTTAAAGCTCCCCAGAAGAAATATTACCTGAATCATAGATGATCCTCTTTTTCTTGTTTGGTTGCTTCTGTTTAGAGTCATCTTCTTTACAAGAACTATTTACCTGTGAACATCACAGTATAATTAGAACACAAAAAAGTCTATATAACTTAGCTGGTTTTTTTTTTTAGACTTGAGCTCAGTAATTCTGCCCCCAAGGAGACATTTTTGCTTGTCATAACTGGGGGGAGAGGGGGTTACTGGCATCTAATGGGTAGATGGTAGACCAGGGATGTTTCTAAACGTCCTACAATGCACAAGATAGTCCTCCACAACAAAGAATTATACAGCCCAAAAATGTTATTAATGCCCTACTTAGGCTAAAGAATAAGCCAGATCCACCATCAAAAAGAGAAGAGATATCAAACACCTGCATGGATATGAAGAAAAAGGAACTCTTCTGGACTGCTGGTGGGACTATAAAATGGTACAGCCACTATGGAAAACAGTACGGAGGTTCCTCAAAAAAAATTTTTTTTAAACTACCATATGACCTAGCAATTCTACTTCTGGAAATGTATCTAAAGAAAACAAGAACACTAACTCAAAAAGATATGTGCACCCTCCATGTTCACAGAAGCATTATTTATAATAGCCAAGACACGGAAACAACCTAAGTAACCATCAAAGTAGGAAAGGATAAAGTTGTGATACACATAAAAAAAGAGGAAATCCTACCATTTGCAACAACATGGATGAACCTTGAAGGCGTTATGCTAAGTGAAATAAGACAAACACTGTATGATCTCACCTATACGTGGACTCTAAAACAAACAAAAAACATACCAAACTCATAGAAAAAGAGATCAGATTTGTGGTTACCAGTGGCAGGGGGTAAGGGGAAGTACAACTGGAGGAAGGTGGTCAAAAGGTATAAACTTCTAGTTATAAGTCCTAGGGATGTAATATACAACATGATGACTACAGTTAATACTGCTATCTGATACGTAGGAAACTTGTTAAGAGGGTAGATCTAAAAGTTCTCATCACAAGAGAAATTTTTTTCCTTTTACTATATCCATATGAAATAATGGACGTTAACTAAACCTATCGTAATCATTTCACAACAAGTGTAAGTCAAACCATCATGCTGTACACCTCAAACTTACATAGCTATGTATGTCAATTATTTAATAAAACTGAAAAAAAAAAAAAAAGCCAGACAATAATTCCATCATATGGGGAAAAAAGAAATACAGAAAAAGCTGTATTATTAATCAACTCCACTTTCAACACTAATCTACATATAACAAAGTGTAAAAGGATGTCAGATATTACAAGGCAAAGGCTTACTAAAAATGAAAGAGACAAATAAAAGTTAAGGAGTTGTGGGCCCACCACTGCCCAATGCCTGTTAGAAAACTAAATATAACCGAGGCAAAAGGTATTATTTATATTTTGTAGTTATACATTTCTAACATATTTAAATTTTCCCAAAAAGCATCAAGAAAGCAGTAAAAACAAAACAAAGCAAAACAAAAACCTATAGCCAATTATAAGATAGAAATGTTTCTAGGGGTGGCTGGCTGGCTCAGTCGGTTAGAGCATATATGACTCTTGATCTCAGGGTTGTGAGTTCAAGCCCCACACTGGGTGTAGAGATTACTTAAAAATAAAATCTTATGAGCACCTGGGTGGCTCAGTTGGTTAAGCATCCAACTTTTGATTTCAGCTCAGGTCATGATCTCAGGATCATGAGATCAAGCCCTGCATCAGGCTCTACACTGAGATTCTCTCTCTCCCCCTCTCCCTCTGACCCCAACCCCACTCGTGTGCACTCTATGTAAATTCATTAATTTGGGGGGGTGAATAAATAAAATAAAATCTTTCAAAAAAGAAATATGCTTCTATTCATTACACTGAAATTTGAAAAGTGTAAGAACAAGCAACTACCTTGTAAGAAAATGAGATAAATGAACTATTATAATTCAAATACACCATCAGACTAGAGGAGAGAGTTAGAATCAACTATATTAACTCCTAGAAAAGAGAGAGCCACAGAAGGCAAGTCTCAAATTCTGCCAGTAAACTTAGTCCAAATCTGTGGCAGTCTCCTGAACTACATATGAATGGAACAACTCCCCGTGCCCCGCTAAGGATAAAAGAATTGAACAAAGATTTCATCTGCTGCCCATCAAAGAGGAGACAAGAGTTCAGAGTTTGAGTTCAGCCAAATTAACTGCCTGCTAAGCCAAAAGAATTAACACTCTTTGGAGGAATATAACAGAATCCAAATTTCCTACATTATATAATTCACACTATCCAACATAAATCCAAAATAACTAGACACACACAAAAAAGTAGGAAATGTGACCTGCAATGCTTAATTTCACCTGTTAGCTTGCGTGGGCTACAAAGTACCCAGATATTACATCAAACATTATCCTGAGTGTTTCTATGAAGGTGTTTTTGGATGAATCCAACATTTAAATCAATAGACTGATTAAAGGAGATTCCTCTCCCTAATGTGAGTGAACCTGATCCAATCAGTTGAAGGTCCGAAGAGAACAAAAGGTCAACCCTCTCCCAAATAAGAGAATCCCTCTTTCCTGACTGCCTTCAACCTGGGACATCAACTATTCCTAAGTCTCAAGCCTACTACCCTTGGCTAGAAGGCTTGAGCCTGAATCACACTACTGGATCTCCTAGTTCATAGGACTTCAGACTCACACTTAAACTATACCGTCAGCTATCCTAAGTCTCCAGCTTGCCCAACTGTAGGTCTAGGGACTTGTCAGCCCTCGTAATCACATGCATGAATTCTTTAAAATAAAATAAATAAATAAATAAATAAATTCTTTAAAATAAATCTCTTTCTAGATTCTATTTCTCTGGAGGATCCTAATACAGATTTTGTTACCAAAATTTGGTGCAGTAAAAAGTACCTAAAATATGGACGTGGCTTTGGAACTGGGTTATGATGAAGGCTGGAAAGTTTCCGATGTGTGTGCTTAAAAAAAGCCTAGCACTTCTGGTCCAAGATGGCAATGAACTTCCACCTCCACAGGACACACCAAATCATACCTATTTATACAGCAATTCCTCCTGAAGAACTGAGAGCTGACTGAACAGCTTCTGCACAACAAAAGACAGAGAGACCACATAGACAACGGCAAGAGAAACAGAGATAGGGTAACGAAAGGAACCCCCACCTGTCACCGTGAACTGCATTAGGGACAGAAACTACTGAGGGACCATAAGCAGATTCATCTTCCCTGAGGCAGAGAAAAAAGGCCATGGTTTAAAAGAGTAACTAGATTATAAAAAATTCAGCCCTAGAACTCCACCAAATGATGGGGAAGCTGCTGGAACTCTCTCCAGGTTGGAGGGGCCAAGGTTTACATTCTCCCTCCACCCTGACAGCATGGTCAGGAGCAGGGTCCTAGTGCCCTTGCTGGCCTATCACCTCAATAAGCCCCAGGCCCCATCCCACACCAGCCCTAGACACCCCACCCATGTGACCTCAGCACAACACACACCACATCTCTGGTCAGCTACCCCTTACAGGGCTAGCTGTCTTGCCAAGGTGACACAGGCACAAGCCACCCCAAAACACCACTATGGCTCCAGACAATTTGCCAGGGCACCCCCGATGCAGAGCCCCCCAAGAACACACCCGTTTTGGTTCCAGATGACTCACCAGGGTATTTTGTGCAGTGCCTGGGGACCACCCAGCCCATTCCTGCTTTGGATCCAGACAACTCACCAGGGCACCCCTGTACAGAGCATCCCAGCATACCTCAACTTGCACCTACTTCAGCTTCAGCGGTCCTGCCGGGGCACCATCTATGTAGAGAGCCCTAGGACCACCCCAGCCCACACCCACTTCAGCTCAGGCCATCCCACCAGGGCACCCCAGCACACAGTGCCCCAGGACCACCAGCTACAACTTCAGCCAGCCAGCCAAAGTAACCAAGCACATGCAGCTACATAGGGGATGACCATACACAAGATCATTCCTTCAAGTTTAGGAGAAATATCTGTTCCACCTAATTCATAGAAACAAACACAGGCAGTTAAGCAAAATGAGAAGACAGAGGAATATGCTTCAAATGAAAGAACAAGACAAAGCCTCAGAAAAAGAACTAACTGCAACAGAGATAATCAAGCTATCTGCTAAACATTTCAAACTTAAAAAAAAAAATTAATGATCACAGAATAGAGATGCTCACCAACTGGAGAGAAGAATGGATGAAGTCAGTGAGAACTTCAACAAAGACAGAGAAAATATTAAAAAGGACCAGTGTTGAAGAATACAATAAATGAAATGAAAAATACACTAGAGGTAATCAACAGCAGATTAGAGAATGCAGAAGAACAGATCAGCAATCTGGAAGACAGACTAATGGTAAGCACCCAAGCCATACAGCAAAAAGGAAAAAGAATTTTTTTAAAAAATGAGAACAGGTTAAGGATCTCTTCGAAAACATCAAGCAAACAAACATTTGCATTATAGGGGTCTCAGAAGAAGCTGAGAGAGACAGAGAGAGAGAAAGGGACAGAAAACTTATTTGAAGAAATAACAGCTGAAAACTTCCTTCACCTGGAGAAGGAAATAGATATCCAGATTTAGGAAGCACAGAGAGTTCCAAACAAAATGAACCCAAGGAGCTCCATACCTTAACACATAATAAGAAAATGTCAAAGATTAAAGATAAAGAATTTTAAAAGCAGTAAGAGAGAAGCAAATAATTACCTACAAAGGAAACCCCATAAGGTGATCATCTGATTTTTCAGCAGAAACTATTGTGCACACCAGAAGGGAGAGGCATGATATATATATTCAAAGTGCTAAAAGGAAAAAACCTACAACCAAGAATACTCTACCCAGCAAGGTTATCATTTAGAATTGAAGGAAAGATAAAGAGCTTCCCAAATAAACAAAAATTAAAGGATTTCATCACCACTAAACTGGCCTTTACAAGAAATGTTAAAGGGCTTAAGTGGATAAAAAAGACTGTAATTAGAAGAAAATTATGAAAATAAAAAAATTTCATTAAGCAATCACAGTAAAGGTAGTAGAGCAATCACTTATAAAGCTAGTATAAAGGTCAAACAACAAAA